GATCTTGGTGATGCTGTTTAAATGGATCCATGGAGCTAATGATGAACCTTGACTGAGACAGGCTTTTCTAGAGCTAAGCTTGGTAGCTCCTACTATGAGGAGCAATTTCTCCAAGGAAAGGTGTGAGGTTCTTAGCAAGCAGCTCCTTGTAGGACTTCTCTTCCCTGGAAGGCCCTTCTGTTGGTTTTGGTCAATTGGTATTGTATTTGTCCATGCACAAGAGAATGATCTTGCCACAATGTTCAGTGCTTTGTTGTTTGGGTGTTTTTTTTCTCCAGAAGAGACTACTCACTACGCCAGCCGAATCACCTCCTGTAATGCTTGTTTCACAAAACCTGTTGGCAGATGAAGAGGCTGTTTCTTTTTGCAGAGAAGCAGCAGAAGGCGGTTTGCTGTCTAGGCTGGGTTTTAGCATATTTTATATCAAACCCAAGTGTGTGTGTAAATGATGGCGTGCCGTGCCAATACGCGGCCTGGCACTTCAAACCCAGCTGAACGAGGGGGGTGCCTGCATTTCTAACCTAATTTCTCACAAAATTCACTTAAGCATCCACTTCAAAGACCAGAAGGGCAGGTGCCTGCACCGTGGGGGACGACTTCCCATGAAACAGTCCTTTACCTTCAGCTGGCAATCACTGGATGCGCCCTGTTTCAAATTTGTTGAGGCAACTTGGTTCCATTATGGGTAACTAAAAGGTGGTTTTTGCACCTTCTAATGCAGTTATTTTAGTGAGGACTGACCCCTGTGTGGTTTGAGACACGCCTTTATTGTAGGATTCTATAATCATCGCTCTTCACAGTGTAGTGAAACAGAGTATTTCTGGTTTAACTTCTTATTACGGTATTAAAGTAAGCTTTTCTTTTCATCATAGGATGAATGCAGAACAGTGCTCCTGAGTAGCTGGTAAAAAGTGGAACTGCACCACATTTTAGCTCTTATATTAGCAAATATTTCTAGATACACTGCAAGGATCCTGATCCCGATGAACTCGAGCGATTACTTTGATGGGAACCACATCTGTGCTTTACAGTTTGCCAAAATATTAAGCAAAAGGATGGGTATTTCTGAAATAAGCCACTATTGAAAAGTATGCACAGCTAATACCCCAAATCACTGTTATTTTTCACAGAACCTAAGCTTTGAGTGAGAAAAAATACATATATACAATAAATACATATATATAAATATATAGAGATAGATGTTAAATTCAGATATTCCGATAACAACTCTCAGAAGTTCCATCATTAGGAAAAGCTTGATTTGCATGTTAAACGTCCAGATATTTCTTCTTAATCAAATGTTAAGCCTGTCTAAGTTAGTTGAAATGTCTGAAATAGTAAAGCAGAAAAAAACCACACGTTTACTCTTATAATTTAGAGCACTTTTCACTCTAAATAGACTAAGGCAGCTCCACAGTGGTGTTGCTGCTTGTCCCCTGCGGTTGGGGCTGGAGTGTTGTTTGCTGCATTAGCATAATTATTTTGTATTTGTGAATATAATGAAGTTCTGTTGCACAGAGAGGTTTGGTATTTGACTTTCTCTCTGCTCTTGAGGGTATTTCCAAAAGAAAAAGTCGCACGTTTACTCTTATAATTTAGAGCACTTTTCACTCTAAATAGACTAAGGCAGCTCCACAGTGGTGTTGCTGCTTGTCCCCTGCGGTTGGGGCTGGAGTGTTGTTTGCTGCATTAGCATAATTATTTTGTATTTGTGAATATAATGAAGTTCTGTTGCACAGAGAGGTTTGGTATTTGACTTTCTCTCTGCTCTTGAGGGTATTTCCAAAAGAAAAAGTCGCTCATCAGAACTGGGCAATTCTTGTAGCCAGCTCGTATCCGTGTAGGGCAGAATTGCCTCAGAAAGGGGCAAATCTCTCTGTTCTGCTGGCTTCGTGTTTCTGCCACCTCCCTTACAGCCTGAGTTTGAGGAGGAAACTTTTAAAAGTCCATTTGATTTTAATTTGGATCAGCTATGACTTGTACAAAGATGGAGCTGAAGGTGACTGTGGGGCAGCGCCGTGAGGAACGTCGTGCACAGGGACATTCCGACGGACGTGCCCGGGGTGGTGTTTTTAGTAAAGCTTAACCTTCTGTATTTTAATGATTAATGATTTATAGTTCTGGCCAGCATGCCCACGTGTTAAGGGTAATAATACATTGGAGTATGGTCATAAGACAGCCCATGTTCTTTTTAGGACATTTTTATAGCTAATATTTATGAGTTTTACTTGACATTTTTGTAAAAGTGCTATAAATTCATCCTAGTAGTTCTTCATTTACAGTGTCTAGTTTTCAATGTGCTCCTGAAACCAGACTTAAAAAGTCAGCTTCCTCTTTTTATTTGCAGCGATTTTTCTGCTCAGCCCTTGCTCCATGGCTTGGCTTGTGCTCTCTGCAGAGCTTCTTCAAAGCTCTGGCACAATTTTGAGGAACTGTGATTTTTCTGCTGTTACCAGATGTCTCCTCTTTAAAATACCTGGTATCACACTTCCCCCCCCCACCCCCACCCCGCCTTATTTTTAATGCTTCTTTAGGTTAAACAACATATTATTATTTCAACGTATTTATAACTTCATTATTCTTAGAGACAACCAAGGTGAGAAACCTTTGCAAGTGAAGGGTCCTCTGATGTCTTCCTGTGCCAGTTCCAAAGACATTTTGCCTGGGTGATACCACAGGTTTCTTTAACAAAGATCCCTTTGGGGATCCAAAAAACTCAAAACAAAACTCCAATTAGTGGCTTTTGTGTTTCCCACTTGCTGCACTGACATTTTGCCACTGGAAGGTCTTCCGGGTGTGGTAGTAGTTGAAGGAAGCCCATGATCCGTATCCCATGTCCTCCGTTGGGGAGCATCTCCAGAGCATTCTCTCAAGAGTCCATTTCCTCACTAGACTCTGAAGGAAGTCTGTAAGGGAGACAGAGCTGGAAAAGCAGTTGTCTGGCTCAAAAGCTGCCAACTGAAATAGGGAATTGAACAGAAATGCATTTCTGCACCCTTTTGCCTTTGAAATTATTTTTTCATATATATATAAATTGAATGATAATAGACTATTTTGCAGTTTGCCATGCTTGGATGCATGCTTCAGAGCAGAACTAGCTTTCTATTGCACATCTCCCCATAGCTTCTAAGGGAAATAAAAACAAAGTGATGGATAAGTGAGTAATAAAGGGTTTTAAAACGCATGCTTTTCACCTCTTGGATATTTTTTAAAATTGTTATTCCTGACCCACACAAAGCGTATGAATGCAGAGTCTCTTAATTGAAGATTTTACTTCTGCTTAGAATGTGAGCTGCAGTTAGAGGACTAACACGAGCTCTGTTTAAGAGCCAAGTTTTTAGCCCTCTCCTTTCACAGCCCACCCCACACGGACAGTGGTCCAGCTGAAGAAGGGTTTCAGGTGGAACCAGCCATAAGGCAGCACGTTTCTTGGCGCAGGCTAAAGCAAAAATATTTAATTATCGTGGTCCCACGGGGCCTTTCTGCAGCCCATGAATGGGCAACGAACAGCAGCAGAGCCAAGCTGAGCATTTCCACCAGAGCTCCAGCTACGTAAAATTAAATGGTTTCCATTAGCCCTGCAACCACAACTAGTGTCGATGTCTTGGCTGTATATGAGCCATGCTCCATGGTCTTTTTGGTCACAAATTGTGACAAATCGGGCCTGAATACCTTAATTTGAAAAAAAAAAAAAAAAAAAAAAAGGAGGTCTTGAAATTGAATTCATGGAATTCAAAGACCCGTGACATTCCTGATGGTGAGAATAAAAATCTTGAGGATAGAAAACATGGGTGTAAAGTCAAGGAAGAATGTATTCATTGAGATTGTGGGGTCATAGGTAAAAGCAGATTAAGGCTGAGGACACCAGTAAGGGCTTTTACAGGTAAAGCAGGAGGAGTCTGCTTGTTTCAAAGAAAGTGTAATAGTTCAGTGAATTTAATGTCTTCTGTAATACTTGCACTAATTGTTAAAATTAAGGACTCATCTAATAGATACTGTTAGGTTTTGGAAAAAAAAAAATAAAAATGAGACCCAAATACAGAAATCAATACTTGAGAAAGGCAGCTGGTGAGAAACACATTAGGGCTGTTTTTCTCTAACCCAGAGTGCTCCGGCCTCTGGAGAGAGGTGAGCTGAGAAAATGGCTTTGCTGAACCCATTCTTCATGCTTTCACAAAAGCATAAAGCCTATTTACTGCAGTGCATGAAGTGCCTTCGACGTTCAGGCTCGAATCTGTTTAGACTGAGTGCACGGAAGTGAAAAAACACATTAGGAGCTTCATTTTCATATTTCCGGTGTCATTTAAATAATTCATTTCCCTTTCAGGGGTTTGTTGGGTTGGGTTTTTTTTTTTTTGGTTTGGTTTGGTTTGGTTTTTTTGCTGATGACCACGACGTGTCTAAATATTTGTCTCTACTTGTTGCAAGCTGTGCAAGAGGCCGTTGCTATCAGTTGATTCATCAGAGCTCGTTGTATTTTGAGAGCTGTTGGAGCCAGGACGCTGTGCAGGTGGAACACACGGTGCCTGAAATATTTTCCTTGCTTTTTATTACCGATAGGAGTTTGTATGCTAAGTTTTATTTTTAATTGTGGGCTCTGAAGGAAAAAGCGATGCCAGATTCACACTGTTTATAAATGTGTTTGTCAAAACATATGCTCAAGGAAACACAGATTCTGTGTTAGTCTTCGACCTTTGAGTTTTTCACTTTCTACTTGAAAGTTGTGGTGTGTTTTTTTTTTAAAAAAAGGAAAAAGTAAAAATAATTGGTTGTCTTGTGTTCTGATTCCCTGTAATAATATTAGAACAGGTCAGCCACTCCACGACTCTCCTGTAAGCCCCCAGGCATTCCAGTTTGAAATTTATATGCCTGGTAAATTTTAGATTATTATTAAATATGTAAGTACTGTGATACCCAAGCGGTGAGTGGGTGCTGGCATCCAAATTTATGTGACATTTGAATGCATTTTTAGTCTGAATGACTTGTCATATGTTTTCCAGCACACAACCACAATCAATGCATCTACGTCCAATTTTCCCTGGGGCTGATCAAGCCTGAGACCGTGGCTGCAAAGCCTGGGAGCTGGGTTGACACCGCCCTTCGCGGCCAGATGGAGGGGTTGGAGGAGAAGAGCGACCTCCTGGCCTTGCAGACGGAGAACAACATGGAGCAACCATTCACCATCAGCTCCTTGGTATGTGTCGCACAGAAATGCTCTGGTGGCTGAGCCCTCTCTTTCAAATAGGAACCCATTCAGGAGATGTTTGGATACAGGGGTCTCCTCCTGCAACGCTCCCAGATTCTCCCACCTCCTGCCCGATGGGTTTGTTGGGATTTATTGTATTTCTATACATGCGGTTTATGGGGGTTTAGCTTGTTTCAGGCACCAGGTCTTTAAGAAGCTGAAGTGAACGTTTTGAATACATGGAGTAAAAGTTTTCATGAAAGTAAGAGGAAGCAACTCACAGTAACCAATTATTGAACTACTCAACAGGAAGGTAACGATTATAATAAGCAGCTGCACTACTTCTTCAGTAGAGTTAGTTCCGACTTCTCAGGCTTCAGCTGCCTGGTTTGAAACTGGAAATGACCATTAGAAGTGAACTGTTGATTCACCAGGGGAATTTACAGCTCTCCTTTTAGCTGAACTACACCCAGCAGCCATGCCCTACGCCTCATGTAACGGAACTCTGAATATTCAGGGCCCCCATCAAATTATTTCAGTAACTTAAGGCAGAATCTTGTAGAATTTCATGCGTGTGGGATTCTCAAGAGGACACTCTCAGTGTTGCCTTTGGTCATTTCTACAGGGGTTTACTTAATTTTATCTTAAATTTTTTTTTCTAGGATTTTTTTGTAGTTGGAAGACTTGTGGAGGGGGATGAGATCACTTTTTAGTTGTAATTGCTCTCACAATTTATTTGCACTTGAGAAACACGCTGGAATGTTTCAACTGGGGCTACCAGTGGGGAAACCAATGCCTGTTTTGAGAGAAAAAAGCTGAAGTTCTCCCTTGAGTCCCTTGAAATGAGATCACTTACTGGAAGCAAAAACGTAACGTCTGCTTCTCCCTGCCCATCTCTCTGCTCTTTTCCAGAAAAAGCTGGTAGCTATCCCTGACCACACTGACGTCTCCGTCAGCCCCGAAGAGAGAGTCCGTGCCTTAAGCAAACTGGGCAGCAACATCACCATCAACGAAGACATCACCCCCCGGCGCTACTTCAGATCCGGAGTAGAGATGGAGAGAATGGCCTCAGTTTACATGGAGGAGGGGAACCTGGAGAACGCCTTCGTCTTTTATAATAAGTTCATCACGTAAGAATGCTTTTGTTGTCATTACGACTTGTAATCCCCAGAAAATGGAAATGAAGACCTTTGAGATCAGGGTGTCCCTCTACTCTGCTCTGGTGAGACCACACCTGGAGCACTGTGTCCCGCTCTGGAGTCCTCAGCCCAGGAAGGCCGTGGATCTGTTGGAATGGGTCCAGCAGATACGAAGACAGGCTGAGAGAGTTGGGGCTGTTCAGCCTGGAGAAGAGAAGGCTCTGGGGAGATCTTGTAGCCCCTTCCAGTACCTAAAGGGGGCTACAGGAGAGGGGAAGGGACTCTTGATCAGGGGGTGTAGTGATAGGACGAGGGGTAACAGTTTTAAGCTGAAAGAGAGGAGAATGAGATTAGACCGGGTAACAGTTTTAAGCTGAAAGAGAGGAGATTGAGATTAGACCCTAGAAAGAACTTCTTTGCTGTGAGGGTGGTGAGAGCCTGGCCCAGGTTGCCCAGAGAAGCTGTGGCTGCCCCATCCCTGGAGGGGTTCAAGGCCAGGCTGGATGGGGCTTGGAGCAACCTGGTGTGGTGGGAGGTGTCCCTGCCCAGGGCAGGGGGTGGCACTGGATGATCTTTAAGTTCCCTTCCAACCTGAACCGTTCTATGATTCTGTGATCAGCAGAAAAATGTCCAGTGTGTTCTTGCAGAAGAGCTTTGTTCTCTGGAGATCTTTCATGGACTTTGTTATAATTTCATCTCAGCTGTTAATATAATAGTCCTACCCATCTATTAACTGCCAGGCATGAACTAACCCAATACGGAGGGGTTTAATTTTGCCGTACCAGGCCGTACTACAAGCACTGCTTCCCACAGATTGCTCTGTGTCTATCAGCAGGTTGGTTAAATACAGTTCATTTGCTGTAAATTGTTCAAAAAGCAAAGTTTAGATAAGATTTCTGAGCCTTTTATAGTTACTCCCCATGAGCTTCTGCTGATCTTAAAGATGGTAGTATTGCACAGCACTTAAAAAACATGAAAAAAGTGGCTTTTTGCCTCTTAACTTCTCTTCCTCCAAAGAATTTAGTATAATTTATTGTTTCTTACAGGAGTAAATGCAAAATCCATAATAGATCTTTATTTTATGATTATTCTCCCCACCCAAAAAATCCCTAAATCCAGACAACTTTCATTACAACTCTCAAAATAGCCACCTGAAAAATATATCAGTGGCAGTTTTAAACTATTTCACTAGCTGGTTTGGCTGTGAGATTGATTGGGTTGTTGTCTTACTTCTGAAAGGTTGGGTTTTTTCATATGCATATTTGAAATTTTTTATAATAGGAGACCCTGTTCCTCCCCCCCTTATTTTCCCCACACTCGGAAAACTAGAGGAAATCTCTCTTATAATTTTAAATGTCCGGGTGTGAAAAGAGATGGAGACTGGAGGTGGACAAGGTACAAATTGCTGAGAGAATGGCACCAGCCGTGTGTCCCCAACCCTTTGCAGCTGAGCTTTGCCATCATTTAGACATCTGGGCAGGTTAATAATATTCTTATAATATAGTTAGCAATATAATATAATATAGTTAGCAATGCAGCTTGGTCTGGTAAAAATAACTGCTTTAATGATAGTCGGTGCTGCAATTTGGACTTCCCATTTCAGATGCAGCATTTCAGCTGAGGACAGCTAAAATAGTAAAAATAGGACTTATTAACACTGGGTGGACGGTGCTTTTGAGGGCTATTTTTAGGCGCTGGCTGCTAGTTAGTCCTTTTTTTAGCCCAACTAATGAAAACCAAAATATATTCAGATGTGGGAGACACTCTCCTGTCGTTACCCTCTGTGTCCCGTACAAGTCTACAGGATAATTTAAGTCTCAATTTAAACAAATATATAGAAATCCGCTCCAAGACCTCTGGAATTCGGTGTTTAACAGTTATGTCAACCTTGTTTTTTCTGCCAACATAAAAGCTCTTGTGGATATTCCCGTGGTTACCGAGGCAAACACGTGCCTGTTTAATTTCCCAGGTTGTTCGTAGAAAAGCTGCCCAGTCACCGAGACTATCACCAATGTGCAGTACCAGAAAAACAGGTTATTATTAAGGTAAGGTTACGGTTTCTGGCCTTTAAGAAATGTTTTTCCCAAATCCCAGCACTGCTTTTCCCGCAGCCCACACCAGCCTCCACAGCTGGGCTCCTTAAGTATCCTTTTCCCCCACCCCACAGAAACTGAAGGAGGTTGCATTTCCACGGACAGATGAACTGAAGAGAGATCTTTTAAAGAAATATAACTTAGAATATCAAGAATACATGCGAAACGAGGTAAGTTTCATGTGATTATTAAACAGTTGTCAGTATGAATGTTTTCTGTCACATAAAACTTTAAAATTATTATATATCAAAATTAGTAAATGCTTCAAAATTACTTCAATTGATCAGCAAACGAGGCTGGTGCCATCACTGCTGAAGTGAAAACACACAGCACCACCCATGTGCAGATTGGAAGCTTTGTGTTAGGAATTCCTCACTGTTTTTCCTTCCACATCACTCTGCTTTGGGGAACATTGTTGTATTTTTGCCAGGTCAGCGAAGCAGGTTCCCCAAAAAAATGTAATTTTTAATGGCAGGATTTTATGGGTTTATTAAGCCCTTCATTTTTTGTATCTTTTTTTTTTTTAGTGTTCTGAGAACGTCACCGTTTTTGCGTATATTTCAGATCAAATATAGAACTGAAGTTCTGAAGAAACTGGAGCATCAGAAGCTGATAGAGGCGGAGAAGAAACGGATCGCCCACATGCGGCAGCAGCAGCTGGAGTCGGAGCAGTTCCAGTTCTTCGAGGACCAACTGAAGAAGCAAGAACTCGCTCGAGACCAGAAAATCAAGGAGAGCGTGGTCCTGCCCGAGCAGATAGATGGGAATATGCTGTCCTGTATTTCCGTGCCGGAGAACAGTTCCTTATCCACCACGCTGCTGGAGAAAAAGGAGAGGAGCAGCACCTCTGGCTGCGCTGGACACTCACCCCCAGTAAACCGGGTCTTGAAACCAGCAGCCACTTTAAGTGCTGTTCAGAGTAAGTGCAGAGGTTTGATTCCTTTTTCCCCCTCTTTTTTCTTTTACCAGTCACTTTGCTGCTTAGAGCAGCCCACACATTCCATACGGATTTCCTCACCGTGAGGATGTCCATGGTGAAACGAGCCTGAGCAGGTTGATGGACACACAACAGTCCCACAGAGCTTCTTCATTTCAAGAGAGGAGATTAGTAGCTGTTTTGCATTTTCCTGTTGAGTGCCAATAGATAGATCCAGAGATGGAGATCATTTCAAGAGAGGAGATTAGTAGCTGTTTTGCATTTTCCAGTGGAGCCAATAGATAGATCCAGAGATGGAGCCTTGGTGTTCCTGCAGAATGAAGCCTGGATCTTGCCCTGGGCTTCAGGGGAGCAGAAGGGTGGCTGACCCTGGCCTGGGGGGTGGTATCATGTCACTGTCCCCCCAGGGGCAGGCTAACGAGCATGTCCTATGGGCTGGTGGGTGAGATGACACTCTACTTTGTATGTAGATTGATCCTCATTAGAAATCCGTGACGTGGTAAGTACAATTCCATCACTTCCAGTAATTTCCTGGAACTATGTATATTTTCTTATTTTAGGGAACTTCACTGTCTAAGCTGCAAATGCCTTTCTGTCTCTCTCGCATTTGTGTTCTTTTTCTTTTATTTTTGTTTTGTTTTCTTTTCTTTTTGTTAGCTCAATTGGCCGAAGCTCTCAGAGGCGTCATTTTGCCCAGGGATCTCTGTCACAAATTCCTGCTGCTCGCAGAGGCAAATACAGTAAGAGGAATAGAGACATGTGGAATTCTCTGTGGAAAACTGGTACAGTTTCACCCTCACGTTTGTATGGGGAAGGCATATTTGACAGGGCTGTATTTTTTCTGTAACGTATCCGTTTTGGAGCAAAAGCAGATCTAAATGATTAATGATTTAACACAATTAACTTCATGTTGTAACCTAAGTGGTCGCTTCAGCAGTTTGGGCTTGCTTTAGTAGGGAAACATGTGATTTAAGTTGCCTGCTGTCGTTATAAAATGCAGCCAGCTTTCCAGCACGCCGTGCAACACCGGCTTTTTCCAGCACTTTCTCTGGCATTCATCGAAGGTAAGGCAGCTTTAGTCGCAGGACAATGAAACATAAAGACTGTTAGAATCTACCGGAGTCATCAAATTCATAATGGCACAACAAAAAAAAAAAAAATAGACGAGGAGAATCCCCGTGTCGGGCTGTAAAACATCTGATTTCCAGGCTGTTTTTTTCCTCTGACCTAAATATCACTTAACATCCTCTTGGGGCGGGGAGAGATGTGGTGGGTAATGCTGGCACACCAAGAATTTTAAAGATGATGTCCAAGTCTGTCTGAATGGTACAAGGAGAAGGAATAGCAAGGGCAGTGATGTGCCAAGTTTCACAGGAAGCAATCGGAGTATTCTCAAACCTCTTCTTTTTTTTCACGTTGCTAATTATTTTAAAGGACCACCTTTTCACATTGGTCTCTGAGAACGTTTCAGCACAAGGATCTCATTGTTATTAATACTAAAATCATACTAATTGCATGTTTTCATGCTAAAAGGCTAAGAGCAGTAAATCTGTGTGGCTGCACTAGAACCAGGGGAGCAATATTCCTTATTTTAGCCGATGGGCTGCAACCTTCAGGTGCCCATTCAGCATTTATTCATTGCTTTCATTTGTTCCACCCTAAGCCCGTGTTTGTTTTGCAGACACGTAACGAATTTACCATCACCCATGTAATCGTGCCAAAGCAATCTGCAGGGCCAGACTACTGCGACATGGAGAACGTGGAGGAACTGTTTGGGATTCAGGATCAGTACGACCTCCTCACTTTGGGCTGGATCCACGTAGGTGTGACTCAGAGATTCTGGCTTTTCTGTGTTGACTCTGCACGTTGTGGGGGGGAAAAAAAAGCCAAACCTGGAAATGACAAACTAAAGAAATAATTGGAATAATCCAAATTAATTTGCTCACTTAATTCTAGTTGTAGTGATGGAAATGAGCACTAACATTCCGCACAGATGAGTAGTTCTTAATGCAGATGAGGCACCTGTTGACAAAATGGACCTGCTTTTGCCAGTGCAACTTTTGTTTATGTGGATTTAGGGGTATTTTATTACTTTCTAATGCTGTTTGGTTTTCTAGCATATTCAAAATTTGGGGGGGGGTATGGTGTAGTGTATATTAATTTCATTCTAGGGGATTTTGGACAATCAAATTGCTCGTAAATTCAGTTGTGAATGTGCCCCCATAAACCCCTACTGAAAAGCCACCCTAAAAATGCAGACTCTGCCTTAAATAGGACCTTCAGAAACCAGCCTGGGGAAGTACTGAGGCTTTGACTTTCCTTCTCGAAAGGGGTATTTTATTACTTTCTAATGCTGTTTGGTTTTCTAGCATATTCAAAATTTGGGGGGGGGTATGGTGTAGTGTATATTAATTTCATTCTAGGGGATTTTGGACAATCAAATTGCTCGTAAATTCAGTTGTGAATGTGCCCCCATAAACCCCTACTGAAAAGCCACCCTAAAAATGCAGACTCTGCCTTAAATAGGACCTTCAGAAACCAGCCTGGGGAAGTACTGAGGCTTTGACTTTCCTTCTCGAATGTCTGTTGACCTTGATTTGTAAGAAATATTTCATGATGTTGATCTCGAATGTCTGTTGACCTTGATTTGTAAGAAATACTTCATGATGTTCTCCTTTTCTTTTTGTAGACACATCCAACACAAACCGCGTTCTTATCCAGTGTTGATCTTCACACCCATTGTTCCTATCAGCTAATGTTGCCAGAGGCCATTGCAATTGTTTGTTCACCAAAGCATAATGAGTGAGTTCTGATTTTCTAAGTAATACTTAGGTATTTTTCCCTTGCTCCTTATCGTAACATTCGATCAAAGAGGAGCAGCACGTTTCCACTGGGATGAAGGGCAGGGATATTGCGTTGGGAGTTTGTTTTCGTTGAGTTGTTTAGATTTGCATTCCAGGCTCTACACACAGTATTGTTTCTGGCGTCTCTCTCCTCCTCCCTTCCCAGCTCCAGGTTTTAAATTTTATTTATTTTTATACTCAGCTCACCCAAGTAGTATTGACAGGAGCTGTTCTCCTAGAGCCCTCGTTGCCAGCGCCCCACCACAGACCTGTCTTCATTCTGTCTGATGAAGGAAGAGGAGGGGTTGGGTGTATTTCTCCAGGGTGATCTGAGAATCACACTTTGGGGAGCAGAGGGATAAAGATCTTTTTTTTTTTTTTTTATGATAAGGTCCTATTTTTGTATTTCATAAAATGCAAACAGTGAGTATCTGGAAAATCTGGAACTGTCTAAGTATGGATGTGAAGGTTTATAGTGGACCAGGTTGCCCAGGGAGGGTGTGAATTCTTCATCCTTGGAGATAACTCAACCTTGCCAGGATGTGGTCCTGGGCGACCTGCTCGAGGTGACTCTGTTGGAGGAGGGGGTTGGACAAGACAACCTTGAGTGGTCCCTTCCACCCTCAACAATTTTGTGATTCTGCTTTGGTGTGCTTGGTGTTTCAAGGCCTTGGGGCTAACCCTGGTGTTTAGACCATGCGTTTCTCCAGCCTTTCTGGCCTCCTGCCTTCACAGATGGCTACTGTGAATCCCAGTCTGGTTGCCTGACTTCTTATGTGGGTCACTCAGGCAGCAGAGCTGTAGATACAGCTGGAGGGGAAGTGTAAGGCTTTGGAACCCAGAGCACATCAGCACACCTTTTCCAATCTCTGCTCTTCCAAATGTCTCTCATAGTTTATGCTGACATCCTGGACCCAACTCCAACCTGTTACTCCTGTCTGTATCATTGATTAACCAGGTGCTGCCCTGTAATTATTAGGTATTAATGTTCTTTACAGAAGGGTGGGTTTTCTGATGTTTTAGTCCACACTTAAAGTTTTAGCTCATACATATGCAGCAGTGCATTTTCTAGCGCTTTGTACTACTTGATGACCGAGGAGAGAGGGGAGGATGTGTCATTTATACTACTGGTTTAAAGACTGCTCTTTTTTAAATCACCCCTCTGGAGTTCAGCAAGTGAAATGCAACCCAGAACACCTAAATTTCTGGTTTCTGTCTGTTCCTGTATGAACCAGCCTGGGCCCTTATGGAATAACCTCCCTCATGGCAATAGCACCAGAACTGTGATTTATATTTTTTTCCTCCCCTTCCCCTCCTCATCCTTCCCAGGAACACAACTTCCCTTGATTTCAAATACCTTTAAGAGTCTAACTTAGCCTTGGCTCCTGTGCAGCAAAGGTCACTGAGCACCAGTCTCTTGTCCTTCTGTTACACAAAGTGATTTTTAGGTGGGACCTTGGAGGTGTGTTACAGGCACAGCGTGTAACAGGAGTGTCCACTTTTGCTTTCCAGCACTGGCATCTTCAGGCTCACCAACGCTGGGATGCTGGAAGTCTCTGCCTGTAAAAAGAAGGGATTCCATCCACATACGAAGGACCCCAGGTTATTTAATGTAAGTAAATAACCCAACATGGGTTTGACTATTTAAATTCTTGCCCACGGTTCTGCTGCAAGCAGAGATTATACGTGCTCCAGATTAGATTAGGTTAGAATTTTCCCCACATTTTAAGAATTCATTACCCTCACTTCACAGCCGTGAGATAAGTGTTACACACGGCCATTCGAGTGGTGACAAACCAGAGGCTGTCCCCATCCGGCACCGCTTTTACCTGCTTTCAGAAGAAGCAAAAAGCCCCAGTTTCAAAAGTGGGAGTTATTCCCGAGCTCTTTGGTTTTTAAACAAGGAATTCAGTTTGTCTCCCCAGCTGTAGTGTCCCAACAGAACATCCCAGCTGCTAAAAGGTGCAGCTGGGAGCAGATTAAACCCTGTTTCCTTCATTGCCCGTAATTTTCCACTGGCTTCTCATAAGCCTTTCTCAGTAATTGCCATATTTTTTAATGTTTTGTTAGCATAGTACACTGGATGGATGGCTGAACAGTAGAGTCAGTCAATTACTAGAAATGTCACTGCTCTGTGGAAGACAACAGTCTTTGCCTTTGAATAATTATTATTTTTTTTAAATGGGGCTCACTTCAAATATAGAGCATCTCATACAGGTCAAAATAAATTGATGACATGCAGAGAAGCAATGCTGAAAGGCATGGGAAATGACTTCTTTGTTGTAGGACCCTCAGAATATTACTCCCCAAAAGGAGGAGAGGTTGAGGTTCTCTGTTTTGTGTCGTTCTGTTCTTTTATCACTGACTGTGGGGATAACGAGGAGGTAAGTCCAACTCTGAAAAAGTTGAAGACTTTTGTTCCAGATGAGCTCTTTCCAGTGGTCCTTTAGGACTCAGCTCATCACTGACATTACCAGCCACTTGAGCCCATTTATAATCCTCAGACACACTGCTGGGATTGCACATCAAACACAGACATCCTCCCAAGGGCAAGCCCCAAAACACAGGGATCTTCCAGCAAAACCAGTGAGAAGATCAGAGCCTCATTTCCTGAAGGAAAAAAATCTCAGGGGTGACAATACAGGAAGCTTCATGAAACTTGACTAAGAGAGTCCTAATCTGTACCTAGAATCTGTTTCACAGGCTGAGCACTAATTAATAATTAATTTATTTAAATAAATCAATGTATTTCCAAGGGGATGTTGGATGCAGCAGTCCATGCCCGTGATGGTGGGGTTGGCCTGTGAACGGGCAGAGCAACAGGTCCCAAAGCTGGGTAGCCAGGCTTGGAAAATTAAAAGGCAATTGTAGCCTTCATGCTATTTTACTGACATTAATTTCTGTGAGTAACGGGTGGACTTCTCCTGCAGCCGTGTACCCACGTGGTCGGGAAAGACGTGAAGATAATTGTGCTGGACCTGAGGTGATACGGGCGGATGATGGCAACGTTCCCACACAGACGGCCAAAACAGGAAAAACAACAAAAAAAAAGGGATTCCTGCTTTTCCTACATTTTCAGAAATGACTTTTATATTTATACATTTTAGATCGAATGGTTTGATATTTATTGCTCTAGGCTGGTTTGGAGTTATTTTGTTGCTCTGTCAAGATGGAGTTCAGTGGCATCACCCCTGAATCTGTAAACAACATCTCACCCATGAAACACAACAATAAAATGAACTTCAAACAACCATAACTATGGTGGAACAAGTGATGTTTCTCTTGTTGCTGTTAATTGGTTTCTGAGAATTAGAGATTTTTTAACAATGGTTGGCTTTTTGTGACTTCCAGCCATGCACTGATTCTGTGAATTTACATTATATGTAGTAACAGCAAATACATCAGTTTGGGTGATTTTTTTCCCCATTCCATCCTTGTCCAGCTCAAGTTTTGGCCAAGTTACTAAGCTGAAAACACAAGTCCTTTACCTGAGAGCTGACCCTCGACACGTCTTGGAAGAGCAGAGATGCACCAGAGTCCCTTGGAGAAACGTGTCTTCTCCAGCAGCCCTCCAGGAGAAACTTTTATTTGAAACCAGGTTCTTATCCTGAAAGGGACTCCCTGGATTTATAAAGAGTTAGATAAAAGGCTCTAGATGGAGTTAGGAGGAAGAACAGTACAAAGTTATTTGCTCTCACAAGAGTTTATTTAAGATCTGTTCCAAGAACCTATAGATAAACCTATACTTTAAATAATAAGTTTAGTACAAAAAAAGTTTGGAAGGTGCTAACAGTCGGAGGCTGGACAAGACCTGGAAGCCAGGGGTTACCCAGATGTGGTAAGTCATGGGTGCTGTGGCAAAGAGCTTACAGTTGGCAAGAGAACAAGTAACAGGCACGTGAGGTAAACTATTCAGTTTAGACAGGAAAATAGGTAACAAAAATAAATAGCATCCTTTATCCTGAACTCTAATGAATACAGATTGCAGCAGGTTCCTCAGAACTGACCTTTTCCAGGTCTGTCTCAGTGAATTCTTTAGTCATATATTTATATTTTTAAGATAGTATTACTGGCTTCAGCTTCTATGCATATATTTCTAGTTGAATATTAGTTTTGATTTATTTAAGACTATAAAAGGAATCAGAAAAATCACAGAAAAAGAAAAATTGTCTACATTTTTTTATCTACTTTGATTACATTAGCCCCCCCCTCAAAAAAAAAAAAAAGTTCTGAAGAGAAAGTGTATTAAGCCAGCTTAATTACCCTTTAGACCGTGCCAGGAATCGAAACATAAAAATAACAGGCTGCACTCATTCTGAGGGCATACGGTAGGAAAGTTTTGTGGTCAATGTAATATGGGGGTTTAGATGTGCTCCCAAAGGAATAGGTTTGGTTTCTTTAGAGAAAAGCCCCAGAATTGTTGTAGAATGCACCGTGCACCTCTGGGCCACAAAGAAAATTGGCCTTTCCAGAGCGACAGCTCTGACTTAAGAGCGATGGGGATGGATAATGCTTCTGGCCAGAGCAGACACCAAGCAGAGGGCACGTGCTTATCCTGACATCAAATAGATGTTCTGTTCCTTTAGCACTGCCCAGAACTTTGGGGTCTCTCTGCAGACTGAAATGTTTCTGGGGCCAGACTTTGACACCGTGCAGCCTCAGAGCTGGGTGTTTTCTATCGATGCCAGCACTGAGCAAAAAGTACTGCTTTTTCTCTTCAGCCCAGGACAATGTAGTAATAAGTTTATGTCACAAGATGGAGCTTTAAACCAGCTGTAAAGGTCCCTTCACAGCTGCACGTTGGGTTGGTGGGTTGGTTTTTTAAATAGGAGCAGCAATTTCATAGCATATTTAAAAAAAAACCCATAGCATCCAATTAATTAGAGTCACTACGATGAAGGATTTATGGAATGAAACTATAAGAATGTATTTTCCTGAATACATTCACAGTTACCGCGCTGAGGCCACGCGCAGAGAGAAAGCCATTTAGAAGCATTTGCGGTGAACGATGGAGGGACCAGCCTCGTCGTACTCCTGTTTGCTGATCCACATCTGCTGGAAGGTGGAGAGGGAGGCGAGAATGGAGCCCCCGATCCAGACGGAGTACTTACGTTCAGGGGGAGCAATGATCTGTTTAAGAAATACAAGCATTAAGTACAGCCATCTGCTGTGAAGAAAGTACAGTCGTTATAATACCAAAGCAGTGATATTTGATATTAAGAAAAGCACTGTATCTACGTGCAAGTGTCATCCCTGGTGTTACAGTTTGCCATTCACAGAATCTCACAGAATCACAGAATCTTAGTGGTTGGAAGGGACCTCTGAGATCATCGAGTCCAACCACAAAAAAACCAAACCAAAACAAAACAAAAAAAAACCCAAAAAAAACCCCACCACCAAACAAATACAAAACACACCACACCAAACGCCCACCAAAAACACCGCACCCACCAACTAAACCCCACACTCAACACCTCACCATAAACCAATAACCTTGGGCACTAGAGCATGCCCTGAAGAGCCATGTCTATACGTTTCTTAAATCCCTCCAGGGATGGTGACTCCACCACCTCCCTGGGCAGGCTGTTCCAGGGCCTGACCACTCTCTCAGTAAAGTAGTTCTTTCTAATATCTAATCTAAATCTCCCTTGCCGCCCTTTACTGCTGGAAGCAGTAAAGTTTAAAAGTTGTTATTTAAGTGTAAATCCTCAGTTTCTCTGCCTGAGTCATGTATTTGTGTATTCATGACAGGGTATGAAAAAAAAGGGAGCTAATTGCTCTGGAAACACACAGTGGCATCCGAGGAGGGCCTGGGGGAGTGAGTGACCTACGGGACACTCTTACTGGTACAGCTGCCAAAACGCCGGCAGAGCAAGGAGCCAAAGATCTGAAGCAGCAGAAGGAAGACAGGCTCCTCAGAGACTCTTCCTTTTCTGAACTTGTTGGCCGAGAACAAAACCCAGCATTTCCTCTCTCCCATCCGCACCAGCCAAAAGGGCTAAAGAAGCTCAGATGTAGCCCCAGCAGGAAATTTATGCTGCTGGGGTCCACGCTATTCATGTTCAGGCAGTTTGGAGAATTCCCCCTGAACAAGGAAAGGAGAGGAGAGAAGGTTCTCCTCTTCCAGCAACAAACTTACTCGCTGGTCAATATTTGCTAGAAGGAAGAGACATGCTTCAAAATATGTACAAAGCACTTACTCTGTAAAGTGTTACCACATTTCATCAGATTTTGGAGGACTTTGCACGTGCCAACTCAAATAGTTGACAAATAATTGCGCCGTACCTTGATCTTCATGGTGCTGGGAGCCAGGGCAGTGATTTCCTTCTGCATCCTGTCTGCGATACCCGGGTACATGGTGGTGCCTCCAGACAGCACGTTGTTGGCGTAAAGATCCTTCCTGATGTCTATGTCACACTTCATGATGCTGTTGTAAGTGGTTTCGTGAATGCCAGCAGACTCCATGCCTGGGGAGGTCACAGAAGAACATTGAGGAAACAGCTCCCTACAGAGACTTCAAATCGTTAACGCAGGACTGACAACTTTAATGTCTCTTTGGAAGAGCTCGCTCTTCAGAGCTGAGGAAATCTGGAAAGTTGTTCTGCAGCTGCCTGAATTATTTACTTAGGAGTTCCTTGGTGTTCAGCCCTCCTCTCCCCCTTACACACACAACTCCTCCTTAAAAAGAAAGCTGGGGGTGTGGGATATTAAAGTTTCCAGTGGGCCTTTGCAGGCAATCTCAAATGTCCTAAGAATTCCTTATAAGGTCTTGGAATATTTTGTTTTCTTTTTTCTTTTTTTTTTTTTTTTTTTAAATTGAGCCAGCTCAGAGACGGAACAGTCAAAAAATGTCCTAATACCCCTAAGAATGTAACTACTTTATCTATTTCTGAGCTGAAATCCTGCCCGTTGGCAGAACTGACAGCAGATTTCGGTGTGACCTTGCAGCACGTCTGCCTTCACGGCTGTCCATCAGCAATGCATCGCCTTGGCTTTGCTCCCCCAATATTTATTTTGGGGAAGCATTTGGCCTTATTGTTTGACACAAATTTCCTCCCACCGTACCAATAGCACTGTTCTAAAATATTATTTTATAAGGGGTGCTTGGACATACTTGTGTGTAGGTCCAGGTGACAAAAGGGACACAATCAAAAAGGGACTTGCTATTTATATGCAGTTGACAGAGGCAGAACAATCATTCGACCTACCAATGAAGGATGGCTGGAAGAGGGTCTCCGGGCAGCGGAAGCGTTCGTTTCCAATGGTGATCACCTGGCCATCAGGAAGCTCATAGCTTTTCTCCAGAGAGGAGGAAGAGGCAGCAGTGGCCATCTCGTTTTCAAAGTCCAGGGCCACGTAACACAGCTTCTCCTTGATGTCACGGACAATTTCACGCTCGGCTGTCAAAGAGGATTCAACCTTCAGAATGGCACTGAGAAAGGACCCAGGGTCTCTCTGTCAAAGAGGATTCAACCTTCAGAATGGCATTGAGGAAGGACCCAGGGTCTCTTCTCCCAAGGAACAGGTGATGGGACAAGAGGAAACAGCCTCAAGTTGTGCCAGGGGAGGTTTAGGATGGATATTAGGAAAAATTTCTACACTGAGAGGGTTATAAAGTAGGGGAGGTTTAGGATGGATATTAAGAAGAAATTCTGCACTGAGAGGGTTATTAAGTTTTGGAAGAGGCTGCCCTGGACAGTGGTGGAGTCACCATCCCTGGAGGGATTTAAAAGCTGGGCAGACGTGGTGCTGAGGGACATGAGTTAGTGGTGGTTTGGGCAGTGCTGGGTTGATGGTTGGGCTGGATGATCTGAAATGTCCCTTCCAACCTGGGCAATTCTATGATTCTACGTTGACAGGTTGTTCCCTTTCATCCCCCAACACCCTCCCCATTTTTTTACACAAATCCTCTGCTAGTCCTGCAGGGCACTTCTTTGTCAGACACCTTCTTGCATCTACTCAACTGCAGAACCTCCACCAGTCCTTCTAAGGCCACTAGAAACATTGTACATTCAACAGCTCTCCTCCTCGTGCATCAGCATGTGTCCTTACCAGTGGTGACAAAGGAGTAGCCCCGTTCTGTCAGGATTTTCATGAGGTAGTCTGTCAGGTCCCGGCCAGCCAGATCCAGGCGCATGATGGCGTGGGGCAGGGCGTAGCCTTCGTAAATCGGCACGTTGTGGGTGACACCATCCCCAGAGTCAAGCACAATCCCTTGGAGGAGATAACACACGAGTCATTCCCAGGTGCACATCA